AATTTTTTTTTGTTTTTTTTTTTTCTTTTTTTTTTTTTTTTTTTTTTTTTTTTTTTTTAAAAAATTTTTTTTTTTTTTTTTTTTTTATCTTTTTTTTTTTTTTTTTTTTTTTTTTTTTTTCTTTTTTTTTTTTTTTTTTTTTTTTTTTTTTTTTTTTCTCCGTGTCTTTTGATTTTCCGGTATTCTGCGTGTTTTTTGTCTTTTTTGGGCATATTCTCTTTTCCTTTTCTCATCCTGTATTTTTTTTTCTTCCTCTTCTCTTGGATATGACAAATTTTGGAAGCAGCCCCCCCGCATGATGGCGATGGAGTTTTCCTCATGGACTTTTCTCTCTCTCTCTCTCTCTCCGTAAAACTCGTGTCCCTCATCTGAGGATGTGTCCCATGGCTAAAAAAAGAGAAAAACAAGAAAAGTTTCATGTTTTTTCTTGGATATGATGGGTAAACCGGCAATGGACATAAGTGCAAATCTTCTCATGCTCTCTATTTCTCCCTGATTCTGTTGGTTTCTTGTTTCTCACGTATGTCTTTTCTTTTTGATTTCTGGATGTTGTTGAGCTCTGCCCCGTTTTCCTCTACCCCCATAACTACACATGTAACGGTATTAGGATGCAAGCATAGCCGAATTCTTTTTGGGATTTTTATATATTTTGGATTATCTCCATTTCTCGCCGTATGCCGTAGTATCCCTCCTATCCACACGAAACCTCGCCCAGGGCTCTCCGCTACGATGTCACGATGTCGTCGAGGGTTCGGCGCTCGCTGTGGCTCGTGAGAACGAGGGCCGTCCAATCAACGACCGGCTGCGCGCATCGGGAGGCCGAAACCTTACACCCGCCCGCGCGCGGTGGCTTGACGGGCCTGTCTTAGACTTGGTTGACATCGCGACAGCCACTCTCTCTCTCTTCTCTCTCTCTCCGCCTGTTCGTCGTTGGGCGACTAACTAGGCTATCCGTTGAGAATTCGGCTGCCTGCGCGTTGCGTAACTACCTACTACGAGCACTAACTTACCAGTTCTTGACGCGCTGGCCGATGCAACCCGGACCCGGGTTTTGTTGATGGGTCGAGACTCGCTCGCGGAGACGCGCACGGTTTCGCTTTTTTTTTTACAGGTTGCCAGACTTACAGTTCCCGCCGCGGCCCGGCTGGTTGAGCGGCGTTGTGTCGACGTGTGTCTGTGTCGGGGGGTGTGTTCGTTCGTCATAACGAAACTACGGAGTGAACGGCCTTTTTTATTCACCAACTCAACTACATAACTAATTATCCCAACGACAGGCCGGGCGGAACCCTAGTTATCAGTAAACTACATCTACGCTGCGTCCGTCACGGCTAGCTAGCCCGCTTCTTGTTGTTTGTTTATTGTTTCTCGGACCACTGCTTCTCTGCTAGGCCTGTTCTGCACAACACCGTGTCTCCTCTGTCGTCGTCGCTTTCGAGACCGCTGTGGGTTTGGGACCAGGTGACGGACCGCCCCGGTGCACGCACTGCCGTGAGTGCATGGGGCACAGGCCGACACGATGGCGCCTGGCGGTGGAGGAAATATCAAGGTGGTGGTGAGAGTCCGGCCGTTCAACGCCAGAGGTTAGTAGTCGGAGCTCCAGCATGTCCTCCACCGGTCCCTTTCTTGATACTCGATGCTGACGGGCCCTGTTTGAACTCTCCCTAGAACGTGCTCGCTCGGCAACATGCATCGTCCAAATGAAAGGCAGCCAGACGGTGCTCACGCCGCCGGCGGGCGCCGAAGACAAGGGCCGCAAGGGCGGCGTCAAGGCCGGCGGCGGCAGCGGTGCTGACGGACCCAAGGCGTTTGCCTTCGACAAGTCATACTGGTCGTTCGATCGCGAGGCCGGCAACTACGCGGGGCAAGACGACCTGTTCCGCGACCTGGGCGCGCCGCTGCTGGACAATGCCTTCCAGGGCTACAACAACTGCATCTTCGCGTACGGCCAGACCGGCTCGGGCAAGTCGTACTCCATGATGGGCTACGGCGACGAGCACGGCGTCATCCCGCGCATCTGCCGCGACATGTTCCAGCGCATCGACCTGATGCAGGCCGACAAGCTCCTCGCCTGCACCGTCGAGGTCTCGTACCTGGAGATCTACAACGAGCGCGTGCGCGACCTGCTGAACCCCGCCACCAAGGGCAATCTCAAGGTGCGCGAGCACCCGTCCACGGGGCCCTACGTCGAGGACCTGGCCAAGCTCGTCGTGCGCTCGTTCCAGGAGATCGAGAACCTGATGGACGAGGGCAACAAGGCGCGCACTGTTGCTGCTACCAACATGAACGAGACCTCCAGTCGCTCGCACGCCGTGTTCACGCTGACGCTGACACAGAAGCGCCATGATGCCGAGACCACGATGGACACGGAGAAAGTATCGCGCATCAGCCTGGTCGACCTGGCGGGTTCCGAGCGAGCCACATCCACCGGCGCCACCGGCGCGCGGTTAAAAGAGGGCGCCGAGATCAATCGTTCGCTGTCGACGCTGGGTCGTGTCATTGCCGCGTTGGCAGACTTGTCCTCCGGCAAGAAGAAAAATGCAGCCATGGTGCCGTATCGAGACTCGGTGCTGACGTGGCTGCTCAAGGATTCGCTGGGGGGCAATTCCATGACCGCCATGATTGCCGCCATCTCGCCCGCCGATATCAATTACGAGGAGACCCTGAGTACTTTAAGGTACGCCGACTCCGCGAAGCGGATCAAGAATCATGCCGTTGTCAACGAGGACCCCAATGCCCGCATGATCCGCGAGCTGAAGGAAGAGCTGGCGCAACTCAGGAGTAAGCTCGGCGGCGCCGTCGCCGGGGGTTCTGGAGGGGGTGTAGGCGGCGCTGCGGCCGGGGCGTATCCGCCAGGGACGCCGCTGGAGCAGCAGATGGTGACGATCGAGCAGCCGGACGGCTCGGTGAAGAAGGTCAGCAAGGCCGATATCGTGGAGCAGCTGAACCAGAGCGAGAAGCTGTATAAAGACCTAAATCAGACATGGGAGGAGAAATTAGCGAAGACGGAGGAAATTCACAAGGAGAGAGAAGCGGCGCTGGAAGAGCTTGGTATCAGTATCGAAAAGGGGTTCATTGGCCTTTCGACGCCGAAGAAGATGCCGCATCTGGTCAACCTAAGTGACGACCCGCTGCTTGCTGAGTGCCTCGTTTATAATATCAAGCCCGGCACGACGACGGTTGGGAACGCAGATACCGCTACGCATTGCGAGATTCGATTAAATGGCTCGAAGATTCTCCACCACCACTGCACGTTCGAGAACGTAGACAACGTCGTCACCGTTGTTCCGACCGACGGCGCCCCCGTCATGGTCAACGGCCTACGGATCGACAAACCCAAGCGCCTACGCAGCGGCTTTCGCATCATCCTCGGCGACTTCCACATATTCCGCTTCAACCATCCGCAGGAAGCCCGCGCCGAGCGCGTCGAGCAGAGTCTGCTCCGCCACTCGGTCACCGCCAGCCAGCTCGGCTCGCCGGTTCCTATGCGCACCCATGATCGGTCGCTGAGCAAGACCGGCTCGGAGATCGACGGCGAGTCGAGTCGGGCGGATTCGCCCATGCCGTCGCAGCGCGGCAGGGACTCGGACTGGTTCCTCGCCCGGCGCGAGGCCGCGAGCGCGATCCTGGGTGGCGATCAGAAGATCTCGCACTTGACGGATGACGAGCTGGATGCTCTCTTCGACGATGTGCAGAAGGCGCGGGCCGTGCGCCGCGGGAAAACGGAGAACAAGTATCTGGATACGGAGGACGATTCGGATTCTGTCAGCTCTTATCCCGTTCGTGATAAGTACATGTCGAATGGCACGATTGACAATTTCTCGCTGGATACTGCTATTACGATGCCGGGAACGCCGCATCAGAGTGAGGAGGAGGATAAGGAGTCCCAAGAGCCGGTGCTACAGATGGTGCGGGACGATATGCAGCGCCAGCTGGATAAACAGAAAGAGGAGTATCAGGAGAAACTTCGCGCCGCGGAGGCCTCGCAGCAGGATGTCGAAGAGCTGCGCGCCGAGAAGACGCGCATGGAAGAAGCTCTTCTTGTCGCCAAGGAGGAGTTTCAAACCCAGCTGCAGAAACAAAAAGAGGCGTTCGAATCGCATATCAAGGATCTAGGCCACGCTCCTCCTGCGCCAAAGCAGGCGCCTGGATTTTCGGAGCTCGAGGCCGGCGAGGTCGAGATCGCCAAGTCGGTTTTCCGTCATTGGCGGCGACGGAACTATGTCCATATGGCTGAGACCGTGCTCCAGCATGCGTCTTTGCTGAAGGAGGCGCAGGTCATGGGTCATATTATGGAGAAGCATGTCTCTTTCCAGTTCGTTGTCATTGACGTTGGTCAAAATATGGGCTCCTCGTATGATCTCGTGCTCAACGGGATCTCTGGCGATGACGACGTTGTGCTTGACGATGCGAGGAAGCCGTGTATCGGCGTGCGAGTCATTGATTTCAAGAATACGATTATCTATCTGTGGTCTCTTGATAAGTTGCAGCGCCGAGTGCAGACGATGAGGCAGATGCACCAATACATCGATCGACCAGATTATATCCAGCATTTTCGACTGGAGAACCCGTTCTCGCAGGCCTGCCCGCACCAGTATTCGCTGGTGGGCGATGCCGATATCCCCCTGGCTGCCGTATTTGAATCTCGCGTGCAGGACTTTTCAGTCGAAGTCGTGTCGCCGTACACCCAGAGCGTCGTGGGCCTCGTGCGCCTATCCCTCGAACCTTCTGCCGCCCAGGCTCCCTCGTCGACGCTCAAATTCAACGTTGTCATGCACGACATGGTTGGTTTTGCCGAGCGCGAAGGCACCGACGTGCACGCGCAGCTCTTCGTTCCCGGCGTCTCGGAGGAGGGCGGCGCCACGACGACGCAGATGATCAGCGGGTTTGATGAGAATGCCGTGCGCTTCGAGAGCGTGCATAGCATGAGTCTTCCGCTGTCGAGCCCAAGGGACTCCACGCTCAAAGTAAGCATTTTTGCCTTGGTTTCGGCGATGCATCTGGACAAGCTGCTGAGCTGGGATGAGATTCGCGACGCGCCTGAGGTGCCCCCGCACAAGAGAACAACGCCTCGGATACCGGAGTCGGAGTTTTTTGCGGAAGAGAGGCATGATGTCTTTGCTAGAGTTCAGATCCTCGAACTAGCGGAGTCTGGAGAGTATTTGCCGGTGGAAGTCGTGCAGAATAATAACCTCGACCTTGGGACATACCAGCTCCACCAAGGGCTGCAGCGCCGTATTTCTATTGATCTCACGTACAATTCGACGGAGAGTCTACCATGGAATGACGTAATGAATCTCCGTGTTGGTGGTATACATCTGCTTGACCCTTGGGGGAAGATACCGGACATGGAGACACATAGCCCAGATATTCAATTGAAGCTAGTTCAAGAGCCTATGCTGAAGGACAACGCCGATGGGACGTCGAATGTGACTTTGATTGGACAATGGGATTCTAGCCTTCACGGATCGCTTCTGTTAGATCGCACAACGGCGGATAAATACCGCGTTCAGATATCAATACGCTGGAATTTGAAGTCCTCGCGCTTACAGCATCCAATTGTGTTTGCGTTTGACCAGCGGCTGCAGATACTTAGCAGGAACTATGTTCGCCAGCAGTCGATGTTCAAGCAGTTTTGGAGCTCTATTCGGGTTGTACATTCCACCGTTAGCATGTTCTCCGTCGCTGTTCGGCCAGTCTCTGCCAAACGGGCTGCGGATCTTTGGAGGATGAACACACAGAACGATTATGTCAAAGGCGAAGAATTACTCCATACGTGGTCTCCTCGCAAAGTATCGTTGATTCGGGATTATCTGCAAGCACGAAAACGCCGGCAACGAGTTGCGGAAATCGACGCCGCTCGTGGATCCTTGAATACAGGAAGTTTGACGCCACTTTCGAATGGCTGGTCCACGCCGCTTCGAGGCGTCGAGAAGGCACAGAGACAAGAAAAGTTACTTCGGAAATACCTGGATTTGTGGTCTACGAAGAAAGATATAGCAGAAACCATTCTCATCAAGGATAACACTGAGCCGCCGGCCCGGGGAGCTGCCTTTGCTCGCAGCACCAGCAGCAACACTGTACCTCAATCGAACCCATCCAGCGATAGCAGCCCATTTGGCGATGCCGAAAGCACACTCTCTAGCAATACCTCCCCCGAGCTATCGAAGCCCCGTTACATAGCCACCATCCAACACATCCCCAAGAACCCATCCTCCTCCAAATCCGGCTACCTCTATACCCCTGATGACACCAGCACCCGCTGGGTTCGACGATTCGTCGAACTTCGCCTACCATACCTCCACATCCACTCCGTCCCTGAAGGCGACGAAATCAACGCTATCAATCTGCGAAACTCCCACATCGATCATGACCCCAATTTTGCTAGGCTCCTAGGCTCTTCGTCGGGTGGCGAACAGAGCCGGGCGTCCATGCGCGGACAGCAGCCAAATGTCTTTGCGGTGTACGGAACGCAAAATACGTATATGTTTGCCGCCAGAACGGAGGCGCAGAAGATCGAGTGGATTTTGAAGATCGATCAAGGGTACTTCAGCGGTGCCCGTGCCTCACCGGCTTCAAGCTAACTAGGGAGCTTTCGTGGTTTCTGGAATTCTCTATACTTTCTTTTAGAAAAAATATCTTTTTATATCAGTTTCTATCTATTTGCTATCTTGTGGAAATATTTTCGCTGGATTTTCTTTTTGGGCTTGGATTGGGTTGGGTTGGGAATGTATGGGTGGGAGGGATATGGCATCTATGAAATATGCATTGAATATTTGTTGTTTAAAAATTTCCTTTGTCTATTGCACCCCCTTTGATGTTTAAAGATCGTTGGTAACTGTTTGATTCTGCTGAGGTCATACTTGTTTCTCCTGCTTGTCCTTACACATATACCCCCTACTGTACTGCTTCAAATGTTAACTAACCGCACACGCCCTTATATTGGCGCTGGCCAACCCAATGTACATTTTTACTTAGATCTGTACTAAATAATTATTACACAACCACACAGATTTTTTTTTCAAATGAATTAGCTAGTATTATAGAGCGGGAGATTTTTCTCTAAGATCTTCAGACTGGAACTATAAACTTTTATCAAGTGTGTGAAGATATTTTGTAAACTCGACTTACTTGCATTATAGTAACAAAAAGTATATAAAGAGTACTCCGTAGTATCCAGTGGTTATCCATGGCATCCTATAGTATTTTACTATGAGAATATCCTATAATATGGATTTTCAAAAATGCACGCAAAACCCTAAACCCTAATTCCTAATGTGTTACCCCATCAAAATTCTATTACTGTGATTGGTTCAAGGACATGTCCAACTTTACAACTTCATTTCATTGGAAACAGGCACAGGCGCAGCTTTGTGCCCTTTTTGCTTAGATAGGAGCACTGCTTAGCAGCTACTAGCAAGGCTGAGCAGCGAACGAAGTGAGCGAGCTCTGCTCGTGTTACAATGTCAATCAGGAAACTCTACCTCCAGTGTTAGTTTGAGGACTAGTCCACAAACAGACTAGTGCAACTCTACGGTACATCATAAAAATTTCTGCTTTTGTTGGATGTTCTTCTTTTCTTCATCAATGTCAATTTAGGTGGTCATTAGAGTCTCGGTGCAGATTTACTTAATGTCTGCTCAGGTCTTTAGGAACCTCTTGCGCGCTCACGACTGCCTTAGAGCAAGTACAATGAATAGTAAAAGTCCTTGTTCAAACTTTTCAGTCATGGTCTGGGATACAAATATCATTGTAAAATCCTCAAGACAGAGTGGCCTTATGCTCGGTCTGTTGAAGACAACTAGATATATTACATGTTTTTATTTCTTTCCTATGGAGTAGTCTCAAGAAATTTCAATAAATGTATTTTAGATTCTTGATCCAGCAATTGGAGTCGCTTCAATTCAGATTGTTGAAGTTTTAGATCCAAATATTCTGTTTTGGGCAACTCAGATTTCTAGCCGCACTTCCATTTTCCTTATAGAAGAAATTACAGCACATGTACAAGACAATGATTTGATCACAGTATTTATCCTCCTGGCAGGAATTTCTATTTAAACAGTCTACATACAGTTGTCAGGTCACTAACATGTCAGACAAAGACTCAGCTGGAGTGGGAATCTTGGATCAAACGGATCATCATCAATAATGATTTTTATGTGGAAATGAATAGTGATGATTTTGTTATGTATGTACATACGGAGTACAGCAAACGCATGGCATGGGTGGCTGGGCGGCGGAGGAGTACGTGCGGGCTGTTGTCAAAGTTAGCTTGCAACAGCACCAGATGATTAGGTATGGAGCCCAGCTTCAATTTCAAGCAATTAAAATAAACAAATAGCTACGTTGGCTGTAATATACGACCATCTAGTTGATATGGTAATTTCGGCTAGAGGGTGTGCGCGAGAGTGTTCGCGAGTCAAGAACTAACTACCAGACATGGAATTTTACTTACTTCAGATACAAGTGGGATCTTTATTGCTCCTTCTCTATTAACTTATTGATACGAGCAACAGGCTTGCGGGAGTATTTGGTGAGCCACTCATCAATTCTTTGCACACCTTGCCAGTCTCCCTCCACGGTCTCTCGCTTATCCTTGTCTATCCAGCCTGGGGTATAGCTACCACCAAAATCAATCAGCCACGCATCGCCCTTTGTATCAATTAAGACATTCTCCGGTTTAGCATCACCCCAGACCACGTCTGCATTATGCAACTGTTCAACAGACTGGTGTATCGGCCTAGACCAGCAAAGTCGATCATTATTTGCACAGTCGGACCAAGGGGCCAGCTCTTTAAGAGTGCCTTTATTCTCGATATTGGTGAGAAGAAGTCCGACCAGACGTGTCCCAGGGTGATCCTCTTCATTACTGTCAAGAGGATAGTCAAGAGGATAGTGCTGATGGACGTCAATATCATTGTCGATGATCAGGCCATGAAGGCGGCAGATGCGTGCGTTGGCAGGCAGCAGGCTTGCCTCAGTGCCTGCAAGAATCTTCCTGTATGACTGGAGCTCGTGGTATCCGTGTACTCGACCCGATACCCAAGGTTTGGAGAAGTACACATTGCGATCCACAAGAACCGTGGATGGAACCAGATGCCGCGTTTGACCCAGAACCTGTACGGCCTCAGTTTATTCCGAAAAATCCTAGGCAGTAATCCGAATCTTTTGTAGGCAACGGGAAGGTGTTGGAGCAATATTTCGGTAAGCTGCATATCGTATTTGGAAGAATTGAGAGATTCGGCAGCAGGCATGGAATGGCAACTACTTGCTCGCCATCAGCTACACCGCCTTCCCTTTACCACCAATCAACATCCCATCATATAGCCTGTTTATGTTACTGGGTAACACGGGTAGATGAAACTCATCGTCCCCCCAAAACAGCCGTTGTGATATGTACAGAGTATGTACTTGGAAAAAATTTAAAAATTAAACACAATGATCATGTGTAGCTGACTCTGTTGATAAATAAAATAAGTCTGAAGGACTGTTGAACTATATTTCTAGGTGTAATTAATAAAATATCATCAATAGCTCCGCTGCCAAACACTTCATAATGGTCAGCTGTCGACAGCCGATTCACAGGCTCAAGTAGATCAGATTTCGCCCAATTCAACTGTCGAACGGCCAGAGTTGTTCAAACGCCTCTCTTTCTCTACCAGAGTACTTAACTGCTAATTCTTCTTTCACCTCGCGAAGCCTTGACTTTACCTCATCATAGTTTTCATGCTCTATTAGAGCTTTTTCTGGCCAGAGCCCATCTAGTCGGCGCTCTAAATCTCTCATGGCCTCTGAACTCAGCTGGGCTGCCTCCCGGTCACCTTCAATCTCTAATTTCCTTTCCTCGGAGAAAACTAATGGAAAGTTTTCATTGCCGCGCTCTGTACACAAATCTAGCAGCAAGGCAGAGAAGTATGCCTCTCCTAGCTCATAAAGACGACGAGAGAGATGAAGAAGGTATCCCTCCGTTGTAAATTCAAACAAGATTGCGCGATACTGCGCTGGGTTTTTTTTCTTCACTAGCATGCGCCACGCAACCATTACAGACATATCAAGGTAATGCTTGATTGCTAAATCCCTCTCATCCTTTGACATTGATTTGGTATCTGGCAACTCTGGACGTTTGAGGCTGTCGCCGATTGGTGTACCACTATACTCCAGGAATGTTGGATCCATGCAGTGATCAAATAGAGGTGCTATTTGTATTGATTGCCAGTCAATAATACCTATCACTTGAGTAGGCATGTTCTGACTAACAAATATGTTTTCGCCATGGAGATCATTGTGCCATATATGCCCACTTGTCAAAGCTGAATCAGTGGGGAGTAGAAGACTGAGAAGCTGTAAATAAGACTCAGCTGCTTCAAGACGTTTTTTTAATGTGGGTTGATATAGATCGGGGCCATAAAGCATCGTTAATTGTTTTGGAACCGGGGTGTCTGAAAATGTTTTGATTGCAGATTTCTCACGGAGTCCAGTAGCTTGCCGATATTCTTGAAGCGAGCGCCCTAAAATCCGAAGGTAAGCAAAAGTCACCCATATATGCCAACGGAAGTTTTACATGGGCCTCTATCACATTGCAGTTTGCTGCGGCCATGATCAACCCACTCGCGGCCTGCTGCTGGCCCAACAACAAATTTGTCAAACACAGGTTTCGTGGACCTCCTCATTGTCTCATTCACATCATCAATGTAATAGAGGCTCCCAAAGTCCTCGAAGTTTGTCGCCGTCCAAGCCTTCTGATAGTTGAATATCTGGAGGAAGATCTTCATTTTTTCTGCAGGTGCTAGAAATGGCCAGACTCTTGCCAGCTGAATTCCATCGAACTTTTCCATTATTATGTACTCTGCTCCAACTGTATTCATATCATCCACCTGAGAGTTCCATCCATACACTTTTGGTGCAGGGGTGCCCAACACAGTACGAGCCTTGCAACAAAGTTAAAAACACCTTGTTGAACATGCCATCATCACATTTTTCAACATTGGTGCAAGTATTTGCACCAACTGATTTGGCTGCGATTCGTGCAAGTTGATTCATGTCAAATTTGATATGGCGCTCAGCCATCTGCTCCTGCTCGTCGACAACAAAGCGTCCCCGTGTAAAATTAAAAAACTCCTCATGGCCATTCCAGTCTATGTGCCTTGTAAGCAGCGCTGCATTCTCTTATGAAATAATGCACTCGCCTTTCTGCATCGCCCCAGCTGTTGAAGTACCCAAGTTCCGGGCTATCTTTCGGAAACATCGGGCTCGAAGTTGAGTGCCAATATGACGGACTGTACATAATGTTGGCAACATAACCAGAATGCTCATTGATTGACAGTTTTTCTTTTTAAAAAGGATCTCACTTGAGTGGGAGGGGGAGGGTGTATGGCGTAGTTGGTAAATGTCTGCAGGAATCCTTCTAGCATGGTTTGTTGTTTTTGGGGAACAACCACCTGGGAAAGAAGATCGTGGGTTTGAATCCTGCTATCCCCAAAAAATGGTATTTTACCAACAGAGAAGTCTCTTCTCTGGGTGGAGAGAATTCTCCCTAGGAGACAAGGTTATTGGCTGCTGGGAACTAGGAAAGTTTAGAGTGGGTGATGGTATGGGAAGTATATAAGCATCTGCTAGATAAGTTAATAGACTGAGCTTGTCAGTCTTAAGTGTGATCTTATACATCTTGTTCTGGTTCTCTATTGATTCTTGTCATGTTTAGATATACCAGCTACACTCTAGGTTTTGTGAGGATTTCTCTAGAGGATAACTATAATCTAAGAGAAGAATTTAATGAAAAGTTAAATAAGAAGTCTTGATCCTCTCTGAACATACTACAGTTTAAGACTTTAATAAAATGGAGTGATGGGAGCTCAGATATCAAGAATAACACATGCTGTAACTAAGCCAGATTAGGGAGAGTGGCTCTTCATAGTCTAAGACCCCATAAGAGGCTATGAAAAAGAATGAATACACACACACACACACTTGAGTGGGAGTGAGGGCTAGCTGCCTAATTACATTGAAGTGCTCCGTTGTTGCTGTGGCAACACTAGTCAGCGCGATGAAACGCGTCAACTGTGACATTGACATCAACCAGTGTCAATAATGTAAGAAGACAAGGTGACTTACGACATGGCGCTGAATCGCCTTACTTATACCTCCCAGCACCATATCATTATTGCCAGTGTCTGTCTCTTCTTGGGATTTTTTTCTCTCTATCTCTACGCTGCGGGGTTCCATGAAGAGTCACGGTATACCACAGACCCCCACACTACTAAAGGCCATCAACTTGCGGACAATATAAATGATTTAGGGCTCTGGGAATTCGTAGCAACTAGAGATGCAGACAACTATGGATTGAGCCGGGCGCAGTGTCACTCTGCGTTTCCGAAATTATATGTGGAGATCCAGAGATCGGTGTCTGAACGCCAGGCGAAGAAGATAACCTATGAAGAGTTAAATTCCACGCGACTGGAAGACGCGATGGTGAGGGCGATGGTATACAACGGAGAGGTATTTGAACTATCATGACCCACGATGCTCATATCGAAAGAGTACTGAGAGCTCTCACGGCTACAATAGCTGCATGTAATCAAGTTTGAAAACATGAAGTATACCTTTACTCGAGCTAAAGCAACGTTGAGCTCATTAAATCGCGCGCTAGCTGCTATCTCAGGGCGCGAGAAAATGCCAAATATAGAATTTATATTTTCGTCTGAAGATTTTACACATGGTCCTAGTCCTATATGGACATACTCGAAACGAGAAAAAGAAACATCGGCTTGGCTTATGCCGGACTTTGGATATTGGTCCTGGCCAGAAGTAAAGATCGGCTCGTACCGTGAAATCCGGCGGCGAGTTGCCGCAATAGACAATGGAACTTTTGTGGACGGGAAGCACATCCCTGGAATGCGATTTCAAGACAAGCATCCAGTACTTTTCTGGCGCGGAAACATTGCCACGGCACCAAAGCTTCGGCAGAGTCTCCTTGACGTAACACATAATCAGAGCTGGGCTTCTGTCCTGCCCATCAACTGGAACGACAGCGAGAGTATTCAAAGAGACTTTGTGCCTATCGAAGATCACTGTAGGTACATGTTTCTCAGCCACGTTGAGGGGCGAAGTTACTCCGGTCGGGGTAAATATTTGCAGAATTGTAATTCTGTCTTCGTCACGCACGAACTAGAATGGCGCGAAGTTCACCATTCGGCACTTGTAGCTTCAGGGGAGGAAGCAAATTACGTAGCCGTAAAGCGTGATTTCTCCGACCTCGCTGAGAAGATTAAACATCTAATAAATCACCCGGATATTTCAGAACGTATCGCTCGGAATAGCGTCGAGGTATTCCGGGATCGGTATCTGACACCGGCCGCGGAAGCATGTTACTGGCGCGAATTGGTATTAGCGTACGGCAAAATATCAGACTTCGAGGCAACATTGTATTACCTGAATCCGAACGGAGAGAAGGTACGGCGTGGTGTGCCGTTTGAATCCTGGATACTGGACGGAAAATTGCAGTAACAAACTAGTCTCCGAAGTACGGGTATCCAACCGGATCACGGATTATAGAAAATATTAAATATTACAACTCCGATATGGTCGGTCGTAATGTCTCCAAAATTAAGAAACAGGCAGATAATAAGCCGAATTGCTGAAGAAATAGGATATTTCTCTTAATGTTGTGGGTTTGACACGTACTTAGGTTAGGAGCATCAAAATCTATCGATTTGCGGTTGAAGCCGGACCGGAGCTCGCTTTCTGGGCATTAATCAGTCCTTTCGCCCATTCTTTAAGGGCATTTAGTTTATCCTTCATATATGACAGCCATGAAGCCGCATCTTGCTTATATCCGTTTTCGTTTTGCGTATCTTCAACTCTTGTTTTGTTTTTTTCATTATCTATAATATGCGACGCTTCGGGGTTACTAGGAAGCGATGTTGTGTGGATAGGAACAGGGCGAGTCCATTCAACGGCCGTCCGCGTAGAGCTGGTACTGGAAATTATACTGGATGAAGAGGTAGGAGGGTCATCTGGAATGTCGAGGGATGGTGCGTCTTTGTCGGAATGGAGTCCAACGGGGTGCAATGGGAGGTGTAGAGTGCCATTGTTTGGGTTCGGCTTGACATGAAGAGTATCACAAATAATATTATAGACTTCAGTATTTTCTACACATTGGAGGTCGGTCAGTGATGTTTTTTTAACCCTTAAGCGTGTAACTTACGGAAGTGTTCAACTCGACTATTTGGTTTGTGCGGGAAACTTGGCCCATGGGCAACGAATATCGCACGCATGAGTGGGTGTTCATGGTCGTATCCGTGTATACCCCGTGGGTGATAAGTGATATTCTTCTTTTTGGCCTCTTCGATGTTAAAATCTGCCTTTTTGACGATGGCCCAGCCAGACTTTGGAATTATCCATATTGGCGCTATTCTATCATTATTTGAAAAGTGATACCTTTTAGGCATATTTTCGCGGGCATGGATTTCGATGGAGTCAAGGTATGGTTTGGACTTCTGTTCCAAGTCGGAAAGGATTTTAGGAATGTCGGCATCGTATTTTGGCCGCAGACCCTGAAGTGGCCATCCATCAATGCGTTCAATTAAAGAGAGATCAACTAGATCATCTAGCTGAACAAGCCGATCTGTCGAAGTCGTCGCCATGCCATGGTCGGATACAACAATGATGTTCACGATACGTGTCAAGTTCCGAGCTTGAAGACCGTCCAATAAAGATTTAAGCATATTATCCGCATTGGCAATTGTACGCCTAGTTTCAGTGCTATTGGGACCAAATTTATGCCCATCTGCATCGACATTAGGAACATAGCTGGCAATAAATTGTGGCCGTCTTCGCTCCTTAACAGAAGGGTATTCATCATCGTCTCCTGGTAGATCAAGCCAGTCTAAAATCCGCTCGACCTTAACGGAAAGCGTTTCACTGCCATTATATTTATCAAGATATGTGGGTTCCAATGGACCAATATGAGCTTCAGACCCAGGCCACATGTGTATCGCAGTTCTCACACCTTGCTTTTCAGCTGTCGCCCATAAGGGTTCTGCATTCCACCACTTTGCTTGCATACTTCGCTTAGGGTCCGTATAGTAGAAGTCCGCCTTCAGCTCAGGGTCCCAGAAAGTATTCCCAACCACGCCGTGGCTTTCAGGATATAGCCCAGTCAAAATTGTAAAATGATTCGGAAACGTGACACTTGGGAAGCTCGGCAGCATGTATCTCGGGGAAATGCCATCTGCGACAAACTGATTGAGCGTGGGTGTAAGTCCCCTAGTAAGAAAATCGGCCCGAAACCCATCGAGGGAAATAAGAATAGTGGTGGGACGGAAAAGCGCTGTCCCATTTGATCTAAGCATATATTTACCATGTTGCCTCAGTCGAAAACCGCTCGACGCCTTATATGCGCCGAGAAAGAGAATAAGAAACAGAATAAGAGTGGCAGCAAGTGGTAGACCAAACCTGCGCCAGAATCCTTTCGGCTAATCAAAGAGGTCCTGGTTAGCAGCTATAGATCGCGTTTCCTACTGTATCAAAGATAGGGGCTGGCTTTACCCGCTTGAATGGCCGGTTCTCCAGCACCAGGCTATCCAAAGACGATGAGCTGGGACTGGAGAAGAGTGAGCTGGATTCATCTGTTCCTTGCTCTTTGTTGAAAACGTCTCCCTCCTCCATCTCATACATGAGCTCTCCTTCTTCATCTCCACCCCGATTCACGCTGGGTCGTGATTTTCCCTTCTTTCTTCTTCTGTTCCTCTTTTTCTTTCCTATCCGTACACTACTCCCAGTATCATGTGCAGTTCCAAATATTCTCTTTAAGCTTGCTGCGGCAGGTTTCCTTGTTAATAACCTCTCTAGTTCTTCTTCCTCTTCTAGCACCGTTTGGTCATGTCGGACAAGGTCGAGGGTACTTCGTGACGCTTGTACAAGCTGATCATCTTCTGAGTCCGAGTCTTGGTCCGAAAGAGATCGAAGGGACACGACGTCATCGTCGTAGCCGCCGGGAGACAGTAGCGACGGGCTGGAGGGGATCGGGCGTGGAGGCATGGTCGCTGGAAATACGCAATTCGACTAAATTATGGGCGACAGGACAGCTACTTAAACAGCCGTGGCCACATTCAAAACCATTCCTATACTGTATCGAGACCTAAATATCAGGTACTGATCGCAGCCCAGGAGCTGTATGTCGTGTATCCTGACTCCTCTGTTCCCTGATTCCTTGATAGCTAACTCTGGGATAAGCAAACAGAGCAAACATGCGCCATTCAGACCTGTCCTCCTATCCGGTTCCAAGTCTGGCCTTCGTTGAACTTCTTTTCAATATCAAACGAATACATTGGTGTCCCATCCACTAATACCTGTAGCGTTCTCAACCCATTAAATATACCTTCTGCCCTTCGCCTGCTGTTCGCCCATCTCTCTAGCTCCCAGGTAGAATATTCCTCGATCTCAAGCGCCACAGTTCTCGGGTTGATAATTCCCGACGTAATATCCCGTAGCTCAGAGAAGCCTTCAACTGGCAACAGTTGATAGCCTTGTGGGAATGGCGGTTGAGGAGTCAAGATATTAATGTCCAGCCTGCCAAGTGTAATCCATGCGGGGTTGTCCCCCGAGAGCAGCGGTCCGTACTCGAGAATCGAACGTATGAAGGAATGGATGTAGCTGATCACTGGCGGCTCGCTGAACCCATCTGTACGAAAGCCAGAGAACCCCTCACGCACTCCCTGGATGCTCAAAGTGATCGTGCAGGTGCCAATGTGGGTGGTTCTCCAGGGGAGAGCTCGCCATGCGAAGTAGTATTGCCGCTCATTCACAAGAACCAAGTCCCCTCTGCAGCTCAGTCCGCTCCCGGTTTTGCTGCAAAAGGTGATATAATCGGATAGTTCTCGGTTGATTTGTTTGTTCGTACAGAGCAGCCCGCCACAATTGGAGCGAACAAGAAAACGACCCCGCTCTGTCTCGGGGAATATCAACACTGGGTCCGCAGGTACCTCGCCATACAGGACGTTGTAGTATATGTTTTCTCGAAGCTCCAGTGGGAGGCTGGTGAGGTTTGATTGCACCATACTGGTTACGAGGTCTGGTATGTCAATTGAGTGTCCAATATGTTGATTGTGGCAGTCCCTGTTGGACAGGGATGGTCCCAGGAAAATGTTATTTTCAATTGCAACTAAGCAAGATGGAGAATAAATATTACCCCCAGTGCAGCACAATACATATTAAACAACTTCAAGCTCAGACTATCACATCTAGCAATAAATCGATGCGAATGTTTTTGTATTTCTACTCCATATACGTATTACTTTGATAAAAACTCCTCAGATGCCTCAACGTTGGAGAAGTCCGCGCCCCCATCCCCAGTACATATGACATGCCCCAAATGCGCCAAAACAGAACTTGAGAAAGAACAAATAACGGAAAACATATCATATAGTACAAGTGTGCCTCACAGTATGGAATACGCATTATTTTTGACCATGCACCCAATCATCCCCGAATAACATGGAAATTCCTCCATTGACACTTACAACCCCCTGTTCCACCATCAATAGGTTGCCACTCCTCGACCTTTTTCTCGTTTCCTATAGACTTGCTGAGATTGAATATCCCTCCTGCAGGATTAATCAAGGTACCAGCAAAACCGCGAAACTCCAGCTGCAGTTTCTTCTCGTTGATCTCAATCTGTGAGCGGCTGTTCATGGCATAGCAATACACCATCTTCTTCCTATAATTTCCGCCATGCCTATCCAGCTTGATAGTCACCGGGTAAGGGAAGGTGCCTGGACGAGAAAAATCGGTCGCAGAATCAGGCATGCCCGGTATGGACTGTGAAGGTGTTGAATTAAATGAATTGGGTCGTCCTACTAGTTGTAGACCAGCTTTCTCTGGTTGAGTCCAGATCTGGACAAGGAATCGAGTTTCTGACCACGTACACCGGATTCGGGCAGTCGACTTTGTGGACCCGCCTGCCCCATCGTCTGCTAAGGCGGCGTTTTCTGCAACCGACTTAAGGAAGATAGAGCGATCGTAGTAGGTATAGAAACCGTAGTGTTCAGTTGGTTTACCACGATCAAACAATCGAAGTGGCTGAGACTTGGGTGTAGGGAGAAGGTTAGCGGCTACTGCCGTGCCGTCTGGAGAAGATCCTGGTGGTGGAATTATTGCAGTGAGGTTTGGGAAACCGCTAGAAGAATCGGCTCTTTTCTGGAGATTTGCCGGGGGAGAAATGGAGAGAAAACTAGCAAAAAAAGGTGTTTCCTCCCCTATAAAGGGTTCAGCAATACCGTCAGTAGTATTCCCTAAGAACTCAATATCCCTCAAATTTGGGGGGGCAGGAATAGGTGTAAAATCGTTGCCTCGTACGTGTAAAATGTTAGAGCCTAGAATTCGGCGAAAAAGCGTATCGCGCGTTGTCCTTTGTTTCGGATTTCCTATAGTGGTTGTGCTGCGGGGATACGTCCCATTTTTGAACAGAATTTCAATCCGAAATTTTGGAGAATCATGATCATATGGAGCATTCATTGCCTGGTCCTCTTTGGGCAGGGAACAGCTCCACATGGTAGAAGGATGTACGCAGCCAGAGCTTGTCTCGACCGGATCAGGCCCACCAATAGTAGCAATACCGGTTGGCATTGCAGGGTATCCCGTCAAATTCAACCACCGAGACGGAATTTCGACATTATCCTTCTTTCTTGTAAGCATCACAGCCGTAACAATGCCTGCAGCTAAAAGCAGCAAGAAAATGACAACAGCAACAATGCACCATCGCCGTCGTTTTCTTCCTTCTCGACCCCCTCGAGCAAGACGGCCACCATTGCCGAAACATCCTCGACCGCGCCATAGACCACAACATTTTCTCCCAACAGCTTCTTCTTTCTCGCGTCTTCTGCGTTTTAGCTCGATGTTGCTTCGCACTACTGTGGGTCTCTCGGCGGAAAATAAAGTCAGAGGGGGTGCAGGAGGCCGTGGAGGAAGACGATTATTATGATCATATGTTGCAGGGGGTGCATGTATATTTACTACATTGTGCATTTGTATCCCGCCTTGAATACCGGTAACGTTGTTGCCCGCAGGAGAAATCGGTCCTGGAGAATGTGGCTGCTGATCTGGCGGATAAATTGCTCGGTAACGAGGATATGACTTACTTGGTGCGGGGGAGGAGTAGGGCGGTGGTACGGAATCTGCTCTGGGTTCCCTTGAACCAAACGTCGAACTAGATAAATTTTTTGCACCGGTCGCATTTTGTTGGCTTTTCGAAGTGTCTCCCGTTATTTTGGGCGGTAGGGGTGAGTGAACCCTTGCGGGTGTTCCAATGCCAGCCTTTAATATAGGCGTTGCTGTCGCCTGTCGTATATTGGGGGACATTTCTGGCTCATCATCTTCAATAGTCGTTGAGCCGGAGTCAGCGCTTGATCTCCTAGCTTCTCCATGCCTCAGGTTGGCAACAAATCTCTGGAAGAAAGGGTTATTCGAGGACTGTTCAGTCGGTTGGTTTTGAATAGGCTGGGGCGGAGGCTTTGTTAAGACTCCTCGACTGCTAGCCGACGTTTCAGCAAGAAATCTATCAATATTAGAACGGGAAAGGCATGTAGAGCAAGGTTGGTTGCTCAGTAAGTCATGTCCACATGACATGCTGTGAGTTGCCTCGGTTTTCTGGGGCGCGATGGTCGATATAACAAGAGGGATTGACTGAGTTGACGAAGCGGACAATGGTGAATTCTTGCAATCGCCGTGACGAGGTATTTCTGGTGAATGAAAGGGCCGAGGAACAGTGCTTCGATTCTGGCATTGCTTATACCAGTCATCCATATCCGGCCACGCCGTGACGTTGCTTTGTATTCTTTTTGCGTCACTCATACTGGTGGGAGTGTCCGGAGAAAATTTTGATACACCGGCCTCCGGTTCCTTCTCATTCAAGACTGTTTCGTAATCTGCTTTTCCGATTCCAAATGCTAAACGAGGTACGGGGGGAGGACTGCTATCTTCCGTTACATAGCTACGCCAGCTGCTCATTGTATTCGATCGCGACAACGGGGTAAATAAAACGTTCCACCAGCCTTGGGACCCGCGCTGGGGCGAATTTGTTTCAAGGCTCAAGCGCCTCGGTGTATCAAGATTTACCCCGTTTGGTGATGTTTGCCCTCGTGAAAAGAACCACGTCGGGGAGTCGTTGCCGCCGTTAGTTTTGTCTGCGTACGGAAGATCTCGCTCCTTTTCTGAAGACTTATTTTCCGGATATACGCCATATTTTTCATTGCCTGGTAGCGTACTGAGTGCTGGGAGGGCAGGAACAGGAGGAATTAACTCTACCCTACTGGGTCTTATGTACGGCGTCGGCTGCGAGTAAACACTTGAGGCTGGACGCGGTGGTCTGTTCCATACGGAGTTCCATTCACGGTCCTCAATAGCAGGCGTCACTACTATTGACGGTGTCACAGGCGTCTGCTGAGATTTCTGGGGAACAGCTTTCTCTTCTATTGCTGGTTTCTTTGGAGTTGTTGGTATGCTTAACCCAATTAAAATGGGACGGTCTGATGGTGACAGATCCTGGAGCTTCTTTGAGTATTTCTGCGTGGCCTTCCGAGTGACTCTGCGCATCAAAGACGGCTTCTCAACCCTCCCTGACTGCTGAGTAGTTGTTTGGGCGCGGTCAGCCTGATCTTTCAACACTTCATAGCCCCCCTTTTTTGTTTTCCATGTAGGTTGTCGTTTCTTGTCGGGACTCGAATCGTTCGATTTTGTTTTTGAGAGGGATTTTAAATCGCTTAGATCTAGGAAGCCTTTAGTTTGGGATTGTGGTGCTGGAGCAATATTTTTATTTGAGGCCGAATTGAAGTTGTTTGAACTAAAATTTGTTACAACATTGAGACCCGGACGTGCTTTTTTTACTGGCGGTTCTATTGTGACTCGCGAATCGGCATATTCCAGGCTGTTTGTTGAGTTATTTCTTTCACTGATATACCCAGTTTGATACTTGAAATCGACCATGTCTCTATCCTTCGGCGACTTGAAAGGGTTATTGATGCGATCCTTGCCATATTCTGGCGAGTCGGATTCGAGAAAAGGTGTGAGCACTTCCTCCACAATCGGGGATGACAAGGGAAAGGTGGGAATCTGAGGAATTTGGAGATGAGTAGGGTGCGGCGCGTTGGGTCGAGGTTGTCGCCGGGTGGATATAGATGAATCCGTATCCATTGTCGCTAGGGTATTGAAAGAACTTTTCAAGTACTGTTAGCACATGTTTCTATATTCACAACTTCTCTGGCAGATAGCACTCAACTCACTGATGGCTTCATCTCCTGATATGTAGCTATAGCCACAACATGAAATACAAGCTGAGGGGCAACACTCTAATATCTAGCTGAAATAATGTGAATAAAGGTAGGCATGAAAACGGTGGAGGGGCAACTGGAGCGAAAGAAGCACAAATGCAATTGTCATCAAAACAATGAGGTAAGCTATTGGCTCGAATAAGAAATAAGCATGCACACAATGTCAGTCGACAAAGTATCTTCCTCAGCTCAGCAGAGGGTGGAAATCGGTAAATGCCGGGCTAAAAGACCAAGCAAGTACCGACAGAGCAGCCTTCCAGAAGCAAATACCAGGAAGCAGAGAGAGAACTCAAGGCGAGAAGCTACTCTGCCAGCCATATTTGGCCAAATGGATCATGAGGGACATGACGTCCAATGATACCGGGAAAGTCTGGGGGACCCAGGCACAATCGCTCGCTTCTCAGACAAGGAAAAATGCCTGAGGAATCCACTGGCCTCTGTCAAGCCTTCTAACACACAGCTCATTGGGTGGCATCGCACGTTGGGTTCCTGGGACCCCGAGCCCGCCAGGGCAGAGGCGAGCCCATTGGAGGGGACGTTCCGGGGCAAGCTGCACGGCAGAACCAGCAGCAGCGGCTCATTGGTGCTGTAACCGCTGAGCAATTAATGACGAGCAGGGGTGATGCAACCAAGCAGAAGAGCCAGATAGCCTGAGGTTGAAGAAGTTGGTCGTTGCGGCAGCCAATGGCCGGTGTCAACGGCGGTGCCGCCTGGAATGGGCGCTTAGAAGGCGTTTCATCCCGCAGCTAAAAATAAACCCGCCGCGGGGGGCCGAAATCGCGCTTGGCAGGGCCGCCCGCCTGATAATCAAGTTCTTATCGACTTCGCGAGACATGAGCTTACTCCGCAGAGGCAGAGGATGCTGCTTTACCAAAAGCACTGCACTGTGAGCCTCAGGAGTACCGCCCTTGCTTCCACTCCTCTGAAGCCCGGTTAAATGCGATCTATACCTTAGAGGATCGAAGAGCAAGTGAATTTGGGGGGTTGACTGAGCCGTGTCGTTATTGCAGAAAGGGCTTTTGTTCACCCGAAATTGAATGCCTAGCACATAGTTAGCCTGATGCCAGAATATTATACCGCTGATATAGTTAACTATGGTGGCTGTTACACTTGACTGGGCATGACACCGCTAGCTGTCCGACCACATTCGCAACATCGCGCACAAAACAGCGACCGTGGAGCAGCACACCCCCCTAGTGCGAAAGTTCAGTCCATTTCAAGCTGATTGAGAGTCGGGAAGATGACGACGCTTTTGCCGTCATGTATGATTGGGTTGGACAGTGCTCCAGTTGATCAATCCTACAGGTACTCTGTATGTACACCCTTTTTTCATTGACTGGTTATACTTGAAAGTGTAGTGTACGATATCTCCGCTGAATACCGCTTTTCATGAGTACGTGGCCTTCCGCTGTCGCAGATTCTTGTATTGGGTTTTACCTAGTAAAGACCTTTTCTCTCTGCTATGGGGACATCTCATTGTGTGCCACAGGCGTACATTGAGCTGCACTCCTCTGCCGGGTGCACACCGTACACATATACCCTGCGTGAGAACCCTGCATTTCATTACCGCAAATGGTCAGCTGGCAACTGCAAGTGCAGAGCTCAGTTGATAGAGCTTCTTCCATCCTGTCGGGCGGCACGCGGTACGACAAAGAAGCTAAGCGGTGCGCCCCCTTTGTATCGCCTGTCATACTGAGAGCTGCAGCCTGCAATAAATAACTACATATCCAAGCGCGCTTTATATTTCAAGCTGTTTTTTACTTCTTTCATACCAACTGTTCTGGGACGGTAACGATGTATGGGCGTATCTGCATGCATACCAATGCGGTGGGACTTGATGCTCAAAAGGGAGCACCACTGCATACTCCGTACCAGGTATACGAATGCTCTCTAGGCTCATGGCCATATAGTTACCACGTCCGGCTATCATTCCGGCAATGTGACACGTCCAACGTGTTTCCCAGGTGCTCTTGTGCGCATATGTGGGTCACACGATTGCACCGGGGATCTGCGGGAGACAAACACAAGAAGCCTTGTACGAAGGACAAAATGCACAGAGTCCAGGCTCGCAGCACCAGGGCAGGAACCCGATTCAGCGGCATGACTTCCTGGACTTACGGTCTGGCCTCCTCAGCAATTTTGTCCCAATCATGCCTCTATCCTTTGGACAAGAATTGGGCGGTCGAATGGGCTAACGTTCGCCACAACGCCGCTCTTGTTGCTTTCAGAGCAGCTAGTCTGTGCTGTTTTCTTTTTCTACTATTGGGCGCTAATGCGATGAATTCGACTTAGCGTTCGGATTTTCACTCTGGAGTCCAGAAACATCACCTGGCAGATCCGACGATCACCGTGTGACATTGCTGCAAGGGTGGTGGTTTCGCCCCCCGTGGCATTGCATGAAGGAAAGGAAATTATAATTACTCATCATGCCCACAGTAACGCCGCGAGGGGATCGCCAGTGGCTGGAGGTGCGAATTGATCTGAACTTGTCAGACGACAGTGGACGGTATCAACGGACAGCCTTCGGCAATAACAGCCCTCCACGGCTTTGTCTGGATGGATCAACGTGGCCCGCAAAAGGAGCGATGCCTTGGAGGGTCACGGACACGAATAGGACAGCCTTGGTCTTCTGCCTATCGGTTTCATGAGCTTGTTTTTCCCAGTCGTTGTGAGATGGGGACGGGAGACTGCATCCGCCAGGGTGTCGCCACACACGCACACACACACACTCACACGCACATCTCCCACCCCCTTTTCCAGCCCCGGCCATGCGAGAGCAACTGCTGGAAGCATTAGCATTTTGACCACGCTGCGCGGTTTGTTACCGGTATGAATGGTATTTCAGAGCTCGTTCCTGACGCTTTTCAGGACGACGTAGCATTACCATACCTCGTAACTGAATTTCAGTCCTGTTGGTATGTAACTCCACCAGGTGGAGAGTTCAGAGCTGGTACAGAGTCCTCTGTCTGGAATAGGTATATGCACAGTCGACATACCCAAACTGCCCTTACCCACCTAAGGATAGGAGTTGAAAGCGCCAGTTCCACAACAAAGACTTTGAATGTTATGCACGGCAAGGTGAAGCCTTGCAGATTTGAAGCTCCTGCATTTGGCGACTGACTGTACACATAAAACGGTATAGCAGGCGCACTATATAAGTCTTTAACCAGCGTAGATACTCTATACTTTGTTAACTAGCTGTTGATCGTATTAAAGAGTAATAATCAGCGGGTCGTTCAGTGCGGTGGTGGAAGTCACACGCCAAGAACTTCCACCACTGATATCCGCCCGGACTCGGATTGCGGTGCGAAATTCGTGGGCGCAGAGCTTGACGAAGCTTAGGATTCACGATGCACGCACGTTGCGAAGCTCCTCAATAATACGGAGTACGGAGTACCGCCGTGATGATCCGATCCTCCGGGAGTGCCAACGACAAGCTCGACGTTTGTACTCGTATGTAGAGAGAAGTCTGGTCGCGGCCAAGCCCAGTCCTCATTGGCCAATTGACGCCGCCTTGAAAAATCCCACGAGACGAACAGACGAGAACTCCAATTGTTCGCTACTCTCCAGGTTCATATAGCCACTATGAAGCGCAAGGCAAGCCCAGGGCCCGATGGCCCCGTTGCAGATGCGAAGAAAAGAGCCCTTTCCCCCGAAGAAGCTGTGGCTCGTTTCGGACCCGGCCTGTTCGACAAAGCCACCCTCAACAAATATAAGAATGCATATGCCCACTCAGAGCCGTGAGTGCCACCTCCCCTTTCGTTTACCTTCCTGAAGCCCAATCCGGCGCAATTGGCACATTGCGATTGACGAAGAGCTCGTAGCTATAAACATGGCGTGATTTGCCCGCTCATCGCCCCGGAGCTGCTCCGCTCCGTCCGCAGCGAGATCCAGGAACATCTTTCTTTCACCGAAAAAGAAACCGATATCTACAAAATCTTCCAATCTGGCGATCTGGCTAACTTGGATGGTTTGGACGATGCCTCACTTTCTCGATTACCGTCCCTCCTCAAGCTGCGCGATGCCTTGTACTCCCTGTCGTTCAGGGAATACCTGTCTGAGGTGACTGGGGCTGGGAAATTGAGCGGACGCAAGACCGATATGGCAATTAACGTATACACCGGAGGCTGCCATCTACTTTGCCATGACGATGTGATTGGCACGAGGCGCGTGAGCTATATTCTCTATTTGACAGACCCAGATGCTCCGTGGAAGCCAAGCTACGGCGGAGCTTTGAGACTCTTCCCAACCACGACTAAAACAGATGCGAACGGAGATGAGGTGAAGGTCCCCACTCCAGATTTCACACTGTCGATCCCTCCGGCGTTTAACCAGTTAAGCTTCTTCACTGTGCAACCCGGCGAAAGCTTCCACGATGTCGAGGAAGTGTATCATATTGACGGCGAGGGCTCCGAGCAGGAGAAAAAGGAACGGGTCCGCATGGCCATCAGTGGATGGTTCCATATTCCCCAGGAAGGAGAAGATGGCTACGAGCCGGGATTAGAAGAGAAGCTAGCGGAGCGAAGTAGTTTGCAACAGCTTCAGGGACAAGGCGATGAATTTGATCGTCCTCAGCCACAAGTTGTGGAGTATGAAGAAGCCGCTGATCCGTCTGCGGCCAAAGGCAAAGGGAAACAAGCCGCTACGGACAGTGACACCGACAAAGAGTTCACCGAAGAGGATCTTGACTTCCTCCTTAAGTACATGGCCCCATCTTATTTGACGCCAGATGTCAGTGAACAACTCTCCGAGATCTTTGACAGCGAGTCGTCCCTCAGCCTTGAGCGTATCTTTTCAGACAAGTTCGCTTCCCGGATTCGCACATACATTGAAAGCCAGGAGAAAGAAGCCCTTCCGACTGCCTCGGACGAAATCGAGAAGCAAACGGACTGGAAAGTAAGCCGGCCGCCGCATAAGCACCGATATCTTTATCAGCAGCCAAGACTGAGCGTCGACGACCAAGAGAAGACGCCAATCCAAGAGATAGTAGAGGTACTCCTTCCTTCGAAGGCATTCAAGAAGTGGCTGATGAAAGCCACCGACCTCGATGATTTTGTTAGCCATAATTTCCTCGCGCGACGATTTCGACGAGGCGAGGACTATACTCTCGCCAGCGGATATGACGGCGACTCCCCAAGACTAGAATTTACTATTGGGCTAACGCCCACTCCTGGTTGGGGCCAGGAGGATGAAGCGGACTCAGATAGCGAGGAAGACAAGAACGGCACTTCTTCCAAGCCTAAGAAAGAAGATGATGGCCCTTCTGTGGGAGGCTATGAGATCTATATGGCTGCTGAGGACGACGACGAGGAAGGAGATGATGATGCTGCTGCTGCGGAGAAAGTTCCCAGCTCGACAGGCACCAAGTCCAAAATCAAGAAGACCAAAGCCGACCCTGCGATCTACCGATCGGCGGCGGACAACGAGGATGACGGCATCCTGTTCAGCATGGGGGCTGGGTGGAATCGGATGAGCGTCGTTCTGCGAGATCGTGGGGCGCTTAAGTTTGTCAAGTACGTGAGCCGGTCCGCGAAGGGCGATCGCTGGGACGTCACGGGCGAGATTGAGGTTAGATTTGAGGATGAGGATGAAGATGAAGATGGTGTGAATGGTGACTGATTTTCAAGAGGGTGGGCTGGGATAGGATGCTGTCCTAGTGCTACACATGTAGATTACATAGAGACCCATGGTGATTCTTTTCTCGGCTGGTTTAGGATAGGGTGAAAAAGGGCCGAGCGCGCGATTCTCTTCTCCATCCCGACCAGTGGTGGCCTTCTGTGATACTAGGCCGAGGAAATGCCGGGCTGTTGAGAGATGTGGTGTTTCAGCCAAAAGTGGTCCGAGAGCACTGGAGCGGCTTCAGCTGGTGGCTGATTTCCAGACACACAGCGAGATATCTCCGGAAGCATGCTGTGTAACCAACGGCAAAGTGGACATGCAACATGAACTAGAAGAATGGCCGCGCGTGGCTACATTGTAGAACAAAACGAGTGGCGATGGGGGAAGTTTTGTTTCGGTCAGGGAGATAAGGGAACCTGCTCACAATTGTAACTACGCTTTGAACCCAATAGCTGTTGCCGAGTTCCTCTGAGACTCATACATACTCTGCAAAGCACTTCCGAGGATTGACTTCCCACGGAGTACGGATACTTTGGCAGAGCAAGACCATGGAGGAGTTCGTTTAGTGAACAACAGAGTTTGGTTTCGGCTGTGCGCCAAGGATCTTCAACCTACACCCACGATGACTGCTCACAACGCAAGCTGACGAACGCCCGCGCGCACTTTTGCCGCTTCGCTTCCGGGGTTGCCGGACGAAATGCGCCCGAGCATGGAGGAGGAGGAGAAGAAGAAGCAGCAGCTAAAAAAGAAAAATCAAGGAAAAGAAAGCCGAAGAGTCGAAAGAAGGAGCCTGGCAAAAGAGAAAATTTCTGTTTATTCAAGCATGCATGCAGCATCATGTCAAGGACGGACGCCCTGAAGCAGCCGCCAGACGAGCACGCGTTTTGCGGGGCATAGTCAACTGTGCCAGCGACAGCACCGCACGAACGGGGCCGGTTGTTGTCTCGCGTGGAGGGTTGGTTTTCTGCATCGACCAAACGCTGCCGCATGTTCTTCAGACTCGTCTTGCGGTGTGGCACTTCTGGCTGGCTGCCGACCGATTGTTATCCCCCCCCCCTGCCGCCAAAACAAAAACAAAAGAAGAAAAAAAAAAGCAAGGCAACTCAGGAACCATTTCCTATTTATTTATTTTGGTTGAACTCTCGAGAAAAGGGTTCCGGGGAGAACCTTAAGTGACAAATAACGTTATGGTTTTGGATGTTTTGTGTTATTTTATTTTTTTGCCCCATCCAGGCACCGCTATGCTGTATATGGACTGTTTTGTTCTGCTGATGCTTGGGTGGCTATTCAGGATCGCCTACGCGACCAGAAACCCGGGGGCTAGAGGCTTCAGTCAACTATCTCATGCTGATTATGTCTGGGCAAAAATAAAGAGGTTTTATCTGTGCTGATTTTGGGACATGCTGCAAGCTCCCGTTCAAGTCCAGGCCTCGTTTTTTTTCAGCTACGCCCCCAAAAAAACCACTCGGTATTGTTGTTTTGGTCGTCGTTGATGCTCGGCGACCAACTCCAGGCTATATGTTGGCAATTCTCCAGTAATTTTCCTGCTTCGGGGGGGGGAATCCCCCCTTTTGGATTTGAGCTTGATTTCAAATCCTGGGAAAATGGGCGGGTGGGTGCGTGTGGTCTTGGGAGGGTTTCTTTTTTTCTGAGATCAATAATACTTGACTCAGCTTTTCCCAGCCTAGTAATCGTTGCATACGGAGTACGGATATACTTACTCACTAGTTAACTACTACTACGCGGTCCCAAGATGCAGCCTTCGTTTATTATTATTCCACTCGGAACCCAGAAACCACCCCTTTTGTGGACGCCAGAAGAAAGAATATTAAAGGTGTTGTCCGTGCTCACGCAGATTCTCAGATCTGAAAAGCAGGGGGGGTGTTTAGAGATGCAGCAAGCCATGACTCGCAGGACGGGAACCATGTCGTCGGCCCGCTGTTGCTTGCCGCACTGTCCCTTACGCAACCATGCCCAGAGTGGACTGGCCGGCTGTTCGTGCGTTCTACTACTACTAGCTACTCCGTCCTACCGAGCCCTACAAAGTCTGGTTACATATATGCCGGCAAGAGGTATGCATCCGCTTCTTGGACCGTGGTCAAAGCGTCGGGCTAGGGGCCTCGCTACCGATCTCGTAGGAGCTTCTATAGCAGCCTGGCTAGGGCCGGAAACCACGATCGATCGTGTTTTGAGTGCTT